AAAGTTGTGTAGCTCTTCCTGTAAGGGGCCTGAAGTAACCTGTGAAAATGCCTCACATGGGGCCGGGGAGATGGCTCAGTGGAACAAACACTTCCCTGGCGAGCACAAGAACCTGAGTTCAATCCCCGGTTCTGTCCTTGTGTTCACTTTAAGAAGGCCACCGAGAATCTGAAGGATGTCACATCACAGATCAGCATGTGCCATTCCTGCGCTACAGGGCTGGACTTGGCAGGTGCGCCCAGGCCAAACAGCCGGGCTGGACCCGGATGGTGGCCCAGAAAGAGTGCTGAGGCTTTGCTGCCCAAGCTTGAAGACGCAGGGTCAGTGCTGAACCTGAGGGTTCAGATGCAGATCCTCGGGCCACTGAACACAGCCGGGTGAACCAGGGGCCTGAGATGCGCGCCAGACCTAGAGCTCGGGGCAGGACTCACGTGAGCTTCTCCTGCCACACTGAGTCGGCCTCACTGAAAAGGAGCAGACTGTCCCCAAACCAGAGGAGGACGCTGCACAGAAGAAAAAGATACCCCTGAAGAAACAAGGACTTATGGCGCGGGGGTAAGTTAGGCAAGGCATAAAGTAAATGCAAAGAAGAGTTTAAAAAAAAAAAAAAAAATCATGTAGCATTCTAGGTCCCAACGATCAGCACACAGATACACCTCAGAGAGCCAGTTTTCAACCCACTGAGGTACAAGCGCTTATCCTACTGAGCCATCTCCCCAGCCCCCTGTTCTATTTTCTATCATGAAGAAGACACCAGTGTCTGCACAGGACCGTGAGCTAAAATGCAGGCGCTACTTGGGTTTCCACCTCCTCTCCTCTGCCTTCCCCTCCCCTCCTTTCCCTTCTCTTTCCTTTTTCTTTTTTTTTTTGTATTTTAGGGAAGGGTCTACAGCGTGTTCAGAGTCTCACTACTAGATCGGAGATGCCATGTCTTAGACTTCTCTAGTCTGCTAGTTTCTTAGTCTTAACCTTGCTTTTCATGTCCTGGACAATTCTGAGGCCTTCTGGACAGAGTTCTGTAGGCTGTCCCTCAGTGTGGGTGTATCCAATGTTTTCCTCATGACTAGACGGGACTGTGGGGCTCCGGGCAAGAAAACCACAGAGGTAAATAAAATAGCCTCATCACATGATGCCCCTGTGCACCCGATGTCCACGTGAGCTGCCGCTGGTGGTTTTCTTCTCTTGTTTTTGGAGACCAGATCTCACTCGGTAGCCCAGGCTGGCCTCAGACTCACGGTTCCTCTGCCTCAGCCTCCTGAGTAGGTGATTAAAACAGATTTTTCTGGGAGGGCCTCACCACGCCCTCTGCTGCTGACTCCCCCTTCCCCCTCCCCCTTCCCCCTCCCCCACCCTGTGGTCCTCTGTAGCGTTGGGTTTTCCCACCTGTTAGGTTACTCTTTCCCTGTCTGCACCTTCTGTTCTTTAGGAGCAGGTACATGCTATCCTAGGGTGAGGGATGGGACCATGCCACCTCCTGGAAGCATCTTACAACTTTTGGAATTCATCTGTAAAGCAGTCTGGACTCCTGAGTCTATGGATTCTATGCTTTGGGTTGCACGGGACTCTGCGGTGTTTACATCATTGTTCAGAGTCCTCCAGCTTTCCTCGGGTTGGTGCCCTGGTTGGCCATGATCCCCACACACACACACACACACTGGGCATTGAAGCCAAGCCCTATGCACAGCTACATTCCTAACCTTTTAAAACATTTTTCATTTAGAAACAGAATCTTGGGCTGGGGAGATAGCTCTATAGTCTAAATGCCTGCCTGGCAAGCGCAAAGACCTGAGTTCG